TATATGAATAATGAGGAGCATGAGCATCCGAAGCCTACACCTAACGGATGTAGAATTCTGGGACAAGGAACTGGACAACGGGCGGACGACACATTACTATGGAGTCAGATTGCCAGGAATCATCTTTCTAAACTTCATATTTCTATCTACTCCCATCAAAATTACCAATCATCAATGCCTCTGGGATTTATTTTGATTTGCAAATGACAAAACAAAATAAGGTAAAATTACCGATTAAAATTTATGAATTACCAGATTGGCATCTCATTTTCATATATATTTAGAATTGTCCGTTTACCTTTTTTCTATCTGCAACCTCTTCAGCTAACCACTGGGTATCATACAAGCCAATTGCAGGAATTTCTATACGCTGCATGGAGGACTGTAATGTCGTCGTCCCGTGAATAGAACTACTCGGTAAGTTCCATGATTTATCCTGCAAGCGCACACCACTAGAAGCTAGTCCGTCATCTCGGAAATTATCACATAACTTCATAAGGCGTAGCTTCTCATTTGCATTAACACCGACCGATTGGGCAAATGTGCGGACCGCCTGCCGGAGATCAGCCACGGCACGAAGAACTGAGAATATAGGTGGCAAGAAGCGAAATTCCGCAAATCTAGCTTTGGAAAAATGGCATTCTGAGGGCTGGACACCGATGTGAAGAGAAAGTATGGACAAAAGATCTGGAAAAAATAAGAAAAATAAAAATAAAATCGCTCCAAATTTAAATAATGATTCCCAACTCTTCTTGAACACATTGATCCGCCGTTTTATGAAAAGCGAGGAATAATAAAAGCCAAGGATTTCGAGTTAGAATAGAGAACTCGAATATAAGACATCTGTTAGTTTGACAGCTATATTTTCAAGGGAAGAATTTTAGGAACTGGTAATCGGGAATGAAGGATAATATTATAATATATTAATTGTACCAAAATACTTTTTCCTATCACTCTCATTGTCCAAAGGATTTATTCTATATATTTAATTAGAGTTAATTTCGCAGTTTCAGTCATGAATTTGAGTAAAGGTCACTGCAAGTCCCGAAAATAAAGCTGTTTGCGATATGTAGGACGAAAGCTCAGCCATGTTGGAGTACCGTTCATTTCGTTTGAAGAGGCGATTTGTGCAAATAGATCCTTCGTGCACCCCCCTGCGACCCCGATCAATCCTTGCTGAACTTTCATCCGTCATGTGACGAACATCCTCAGAACAGGAAACCATGCTTTACGATAATTCGCCAATTACAATGACAAGAAAGGTGGCCGGCTGCAATCCTAACTACTTTTAATAGTTTGGTTAAGTCCACTTAATGAGGCATCTCATGATTTGGTTAGAGATCCTGTGCTTTTCATAGATGCTGTTGAAATGTGAAATGGTTGCAGATGACATAAACAGTGGCTGCAATTGAAGCATAAAATGGACGCAATTGTGACCGAATAGCTGCATCCTCCCCTACAGCTCTTATCTTTTTTTGTTTGATCCTGCAATGGTGCCGCATGTAATTGCGTTC